ACGCATGCACACGCGCCCGGCGTGGGTTTAAGCCACCGGGTCCGGGACTCAAACTGCAGTCGAACGTGGGAGTCCAGCGACATAGCCATTACGCTAACTACTGGTCCTGAGAGCTATTTTCTTCATTTCTCATATTTCTTGTGCCTCTGCAGTGGTTTCTAGTCATCTGATGGATTATGCATTTTTTTTTCCTATTTCTGGGAGTTAAATCTGGTTCCTGGCTAGACTGGAGAGCAGAAGGGTGAAGTCTGGGCAGAGGGTCTTCAGTGGTTGAAATCCCTGAATAGGGCCATTTGGAACTCAAATATAGATGGCTGTTGATTGGTTTATCCTGGCTCCTGGTTAGACTGGGGAGTAGGAGGGTGAAGTCTGGGCGGAGGGTCTTTGCTGGTTGACATACAATCAAATAAGTCTTAAGGGGAAAAAAAAAAAAAAAAAAAACTCATGCCATGCATGCGTGCCTGTGTGCCCAAATTCCTGAGAGGAGAATGGAGAAGGGATTGAAGTGTGGCCATCTCCTCTTGGGAGGTGATTTCTTGCTTTCTGTCTCTCTGGCAAGTGCAGGTGCCCTATAGCAAAAATCTCTCTAAAAAATATAAAATAAAAATGGGACTAATCATCTCTATCTTAAGATAGAAATAATCTCTACCTTACTTAACTAAACAACAGCCGATGAAACATATGTAAGGCACTTAGCATAGCCCTTAGTACATAAAAAAACTTCTCAAATGGTCGATATTTTTTCTCTAGGTTTCTGCCATAGGGCATGTGTGCTTGCCAGAGAGAAAAGAGACAGACAGAGGGAATGTGAGAAATCACCCTCCAGGGGGGGATGGCCACACCACGATCCCTTCCCCTCCTATCCTAGGACTTGGGGCGCACACACACACATTCCCAGCATGATTTTCAAGCCACTGGGCTCAGAACTTGAACCATGGTCAGCCATGTGGAAATCTAGCCACTATAAGCACCATGCCTCCTGCTGCCCCCCCCCCTTTTTTTTTTAAGTTTTTGCCATAGGACATGTGCATTCACCGGAGAGAGACAGAGGGAAATGAAAAATCATCTTCCAGGGAGGATGGCCACACTGCAACCCATTCTCCTCCATTCTTCTCTAGGGACTGTGGGTACACACACATACACACATGTTCCCAGCATGGTTTTCAAGCTGTCAGGTCTGAGACTTGAATGCACGCTAGCTGTATGGAATCCAGAGCCTTCACCCCCAAGCCACCTGCTCGCCTCAGATGGGAGGTTTTTATCCTGAGGCGCCTGTTGAGGTTAAACAACAGACTAAAGGTATGAGTTTTCACAAAAGATGACTAGCCCCAGAGTCACCAATATTTCATGATCATTCTTTTTTTTTTTTTTGGAGAGGTTTTTGCTATAGGGCACATGCACTCACCAGACAGAGAGAGACAGAGAGACAGAAAGTGAGAAATCACCCCCTAGTGGGGATGGCCACGTTGCATTCCCTTCTCCTCCATTCTCCTCTTGGGATCTTGGGCACGCACGCACACACGCCCACATGCCTGACGTGAGTTTTAAGCCACCGGGTCCGGGACGCGAACTGCGGTCGACTACATGGGAGTCCAGCGACCTAGCCATTACGCTAACTGCTGGTCCCCCCATGATCATTCTTTTTTAAACCAAAGTGTTGCCATAGCTAACTAAAAGTGATGAATTCAAAGAACTAATGTTTAATTGCATGTATGGGAATATCTTAAACTTGGCCAAATTCTAGGCAAAATTCCATTCAGATTGTTTGATTGCCACGTTTGGTTATAAGACGTGCATTTCCTTTTCCTACCCAGACATCCAAGAATTGATACCTGCCTCTTGTGTCCCAGAGGCTGAAACTACATTGGTGATTTCTTGATAAATGTCACCTCATTTAGCCTATGAGTTTCAAATTATGGTCAGGAGGAAGTCTCGGAGGTCACCCTAGAATTCTGAATTTTTTCTCTATAAAACCTCTCAGAATTTATTCCTGTATCTACCTCCTAGAACTTGATTTTCCTGGGCCAAGCTGTGGCCTGCTGGTGAAGGCAGCTGGATTTGCCATGGCAGACTTCACAGTTCCAGTCCCTGACCTGGCGGTTTAAGAAATATACTAGGTGCATGTGGGCACATGCCCAGAATCCTGAAAGGAGGGAGAGATGGAGAAGGAATCCATGACTATTCCCCATGGGGGGTGCTTTTTCCTTTTCTCCCCCTTCTCCACTCCCTGCAGTGAGTGCACGTGCCCCTTGGCAAAACTTAGAAAAAAAAAAAATAGAGAGAAAGAGAACTTGACTTTTCCTTTCCTGAAATGAGTGTGACTACATTCCCTACTATATATGAAGAACCCTAATAGTACTTACCAAGTGCAAAGTATTGTTTTAAGTGTATTACACGGATTAACTCATGTAAGCAGCATTACAGTCCCTATGATGTTGGAAACTGAAGCCAGGGAGGTAAAATAATTTCCCTATGTTCATTCCACTGGTAAGTGGCGTAGCTGGACTCAAATCCAGGCTGACTGGCTTCATGCTTTTAACACCGCATTGCTTCTTATTAGATAGCCCTATAAAAATATGTCTCATATTTTACCTCCCTTCTTTCCATCTACACTGATGCCACATTAGTTTTGAGACTTTCAAGATGTCTTTTTTTTTTTTTTTTTTAGATTTTTGCCGGGACCAGCAGTTAGCATAATGGCTATGTCACTGGACTCCCATGTACTTGACCGCGGTTAGCGTTCCGGATCCGGTGGCTTAAAACTCACACTGGGCGCGTGTGTGTGCGTGCCCAAGATCCTGAGAGGAGAAGGGATTGTGGCGTGGCCATCCCCCCTGGGGGATGACTTCTCGCTTTCTGTCTCTCTGTCTCTCTCTGTCTGTCTGGCGAGCACACGTGCCCTATAGCAAAAACCTCTCCAAAAAAAAAAGATTTTTGCTATAGGGTACATGCACACTCACCAAAGAGAGACATACAGAGACAGAGAGGGAAAATGAGAAATCACCCCCCCCCCAGGGGGAATGCCCACAGCACAATCCCTTTTTCTCCATTCTCCTCGCAGGAATTTGGGCATGCACACACACCTGGCATGTTTTTTTCAAACTGCTGGAGCTGAGACTCAAACCATGCCATCAGTCATGTGAGATCCAGCACCTTAACCACCACACCACCTGCTAGCTCAAGAAACTTTCAGGGTGTCTTATTTACATTATTAGAATAGCTTCTGGGTGTGTTTCTCTGCTTCCAATCTCTCTCTCTCTGATTGTCTCTGCATGTCACTGCCAGATTCATTTTCTTAAAATACTTATTTTCTGGAGCCAGCGGGTGGCATGGTTAAAGCACTAAACTCCCATATGGCTGATCATGGTTCAAATCCTGGACCTAATGGCTTGAAAATCACACCAGGTGCATGTGTTTATGTGCCCCAAATCCCAGGATAATGGAGAAGAGATTTCAGTGTGGTCATCCCCCATGGGGGGTGTGATTTCTCACTTTTCCTCTCACTGTCTCTGTCTCTCCAACAAGTGCACACACCCTATAGCAAAAACCTTTAAAAAAAAAAAAAGAGGCTAACTGATTGTATTATGTCACTCCTCTGGCCAAGAAACGACTTTTTTTCTAAACTACATTTTTTTTATTTTTAATTGTTCTAAAATATACATATTTATGATTTTTAACCATTATACGTTTCAGAGTATAATGCAGTAACATTACATATTGGGTCATCAGGAAAGTCATGACATATGTTTGCATAGAAAAACAGAAAAATACGTCATGACTTTCCCAACAACGTAGTACTATGCTGTGTTGCTATGACAACTATCTATCTATACTAAAATCTTTTTCATTATCCCAACAAAAACTCTGTACCTATTAAACAATAATTCCTTCTTCATTCAGTACCTAGTAACCTCTAGTTTACCTTCTGTCTCTATGAATTTGCTTATTTAATAAACTATAGTTTATGGGGCCCAGCAGTTGGTGTAGTGGTTAAGGCACTGGACTTCCATGTGGTCGACCACAGTTGAAGTCCCAGACCCAGTGGCTTGAAACTCACACCAGGTGCGTGTGCGTGCATGCCCAAAATCCCAAGGAGAATAGAGGAGAAGGGATTATAATATGGCAATTCTCCCTGGGGGGGGTGACTTCTTTCTGTCTCTCTGGTCAGCACACACATCATATAGCAAAAATCTTTCTTTAAATAAATAAATACAAACTACAGTTTATAAATTGTATCTTCTTCCTTATTTTCAGGTCTTTCCACAATTTGGCCTCTCTTTATTCATATGTTCTAGTATACCTTCCCCATTCTGATAAAATGTTTCCTTGACATTCCATTCCCTTAACAACTGCAATTATATCTATAGTCATTATCACAGAGTTTAGCACTCAACCAACTGTTGAGTGTTAGCAGTGGATTAACTCTTACAGGGCTGCTAGTCCATACACAATTGGTGGCAGAAATGGGATCCAAGTCTTTTCCATTTCAACCCAGTAGTTTTCTTTTTCAGTTTTCTGCCAGAGGGCATGTGCACTCACCAGAGGAAAAAAGACAGAAAGTGAGAAAGCACCCCCATGGGACATGGTCACAATATAACCCCTTTTCCATTTCTCCTTCCTCTCGAGATTTTGGGTATGCATGCACATGTGCTTGGCCATGTTTTTCAAGCCACCAGGTCCTGAAACTCCAACCTGGAATCTCACAGTTGCCGATGTGGGATCTAGCCACCTTAACCACCATACGTAGGCTGCACCTTCCCCCCCAAGTTTTTGTCAAACAATTTGAAGCTACCTTTATTGGGCACTCACTATATCTCAGACCCAGCCCTGTCATTTTACGTTGCATTCTCATGCGAGTCCTGGAAAGCCTTTATTGTTACTACCCTTGTGTACTCTACAGACCAGGAAATCCAAATGCAAAGAAGCGATCTGTTTACTTTCTTCATACGCTTGCTTTCAGTCAGTAAAACGCTTTGTTTTTTCCATGTGCACGGAGTAAGGCAGGAAGCCCCGTGAAGCGTTCCGAACCTCGCATCACTCCGGACTCATCGTTCGGTGAATGAACACACAGCTACACGGATTGGTGTGCGTGGCATTTGGTAAGGAAGATTTGCCTCAATCTTGACACCATATTTGAAACACAAAGGAGATGAGTAATGATAACAGGAATTCCTATCTGAGGACAGAGGCGTCTCCATCACAGTGCCAGGCACCGGGTTACTACCTAACCGCAGTTCGGCCCAGCCGGTTACAAACCTGCCTCTCTAGCGCCTGATTTAGGTCTTCTCCTTAAACTCGGCGGCGGGGCCGTTTACAACTCTAGGGATCGGAGCGGGATCCGACCCCGAGAGCGGGCGCTCACCAACGCTTCCGAGGAGGTTTGGTTCAGTTCGGGTTCACGTCGGCGAGGCTGCCCTCAGGTGAGACCTGCTGGGGCGGGACCCGGGGCTCAGCCCCACTCCGCTTTCAGTCCGCCGGGGCGCCCGGAGCACTCCGCCCCGCACAAAGATGGCGCGGAGGCGGGCTGTGCCAATGGGGAGTGGCGTTGCTCCCGGTTGCCTAGGTGACAGCCAATGGGCAACGGGAATTGTGCCCAGTGCGGCTGCCCGGGATGGCGGCGTCAAGTGGGCTAAGCGCTGGTGGAGGTGGCAGACAGGAAGGTGGCGGAGGGGAGCCTGGCAGCGCCCAGGGCCGCGCCGCTGGAGCCCCGCGCCGGGGCGTGACGGCCACCCCGGAAGGCCGAGCGCAGGTTGGTGGCGGCGCGGGTCAGGGAGCTGGGAGGGTGTGGTCGGCCAGGTGGGGCCGAGGGGCGGAGCCGCGCTCCACGCGCTGACCCGAGGGCGGCCGCTCGTGGGGGTCCCGAACCCCGGTCTCCGGTTTCGACCGGGGCAGGGGTGCAAGGCTGCGTCAGAGGGCATAGCAGACCTGTGTGCACAGAAGAATGCCGGGACGGGGAGCAGACCGGGAAGAGGAGGAGCTGGGCTGGAATGCGAGGATGGGGTGGGAGGAGGAGCTGCCTTGTGGAGGTCTGGGGGCTTTGTTTCCCTGGGGCCTGCGTCTGCCACGCTCGGGAGCGGGGACCGGGCAACTCTGGGCTTTCGGCGCTTCAGTTCGTGGGTGGTGGCGTCCCGGCAGGCCCGCGCCTCGAGCTGCTGGGTTCCAGCGGGAAGGACCGCCGGCTGAGGGACCGGCCCAGGCGTGCCGTTCCGAGAAACAAGAGCGTTCTGGCAGTATCACTCCTGGTCCCAATCTCCCACCACTCGTCATCTTTTTTCTTTTTCAACCTTGTTTCTGCGGCCAATATTTTCTTCCCACTTTCTTCAACTTACCGTTCCAGGGTCTCCCTAAATCTTTATTATAGTAATGACACGTTTGTTTACTTTTTAAATGGAAGAAGGGGAGGTTAGACGTAATAAAAAAGTTATTTCAAGCTTACTTAAAAATACTTATAAAAGAACAATTGACTTTTTGTTCTATGTTCCTAACAAACCTAATCTTTGTTCATCAAGGCCTAGGATTCTCAAAGGCTATGAACCGCTTTCTTTTAACTGAAAGAACTTAGATCAGACTCAGATCTTGGGAAGGGTGGCTTTGGGGAGGACAAGTTGAAGGTATATGTAGGTCGTAAGGGTGGTTGCCCCCAGACAGTATTCTTTATTATTATTATTTATTCATTAATTTATTTTGATTTGACCATAGAGAGACAGAGAGAGAGAAAGAGAGAGAGAGAGGAAAGTGAGAAAGCAAGCCACCAAGTCCAGGACTTGAACCACTGTTGGCCATGTGGGAGTGTCCAGCGCCTTAACCACCACATCACCTGCTGATCCTGCAACCCCTAGACAGTATTCTGTAACTGAAATTCTATTCCCTTTTTTTTTTTTCCAGAGAGATTTTTGCTATAGGGTGTGTGTGCTCACCAGAGAGACAAAAAGAGGGAAATCACCGCCAGGGGGAATGACCATGCCAGCAGTCCCTTTGGGCACATGCCCATGCCCCTTGAAGTGTTTTTCAAGACACTGGGTCCTGACTCACATTACAGAGTCAGCCATGTGGATCCAGACCCTTAACCACCATACCACCTGCTGACCCCCCCTCAAGACCTTTTATAGACACGGACAAGATAATTCTAATATTTATGTAGAAGGATAAACTAGCTAAAACAACTTTTTTTGGGGGGGAGGGGGAGGGGCGGAATAAAGAACAAAGTGGGAAGAATCAGTCTACTTGATTTTTTTTTTTTTCCGGAGAGATTTTTGCTATAGGGTGCCTGCACTCGCTGGAGACAGACAGAGAGAGAAATCCTCTTGAAATTTTGGACACACACATAGGCGCCTCGCATGAGTTTAAGCCATCAGGTCCGGTATTTGAACCATGGTTAACTATATGGGAGTCCAGCACCTTAACCATAACACCACCTGCTGGCCCCAGTCTGTTCCCTTTTACATTAGGGTTTTGTTTTGTTTTGTTTTTTTAAATCTTAATTTGGATACAAGCTACTGTGAATGTATAAATGTTCTTTAATAAGTTTGATATTTTTATAATTATTTAATTTTATTCATTCATTTAGTTTTTAATTTGACTAGAGAGAGACAGAGGGTGAGAATGAGAGAGGAAGTGAGAAAGCAAGCACCAGATTCAGGACTAGAACCCTTGTCGGCCATTTAGGACTGTCTAGTACCTTAACCACCACGCCACCTGCTGGTCCCGATAAGTTTGATTTTTTGGAAATCAAAGATATAATGGAAACTAAAATGGTCATTATTGTCTCAAAGGTCTATTTGGAAATTGGGAGAGAAGAAAATAAAGATAGCAGGGATATAGTCTATTGTGCAAATAGTATATTGATTTACAAGGATAAAAAGGTGACTTTAGGGACCAGCAGTTGGCGTAATGGCTATGTTGCTGGACTCCCATGTAGTGAACCGTGGTTCGAGTCCCGGACCCAGTGACTTAAACTCACACCGGGCACGAGTGCGTACGTGCTCAAGATCCTGAGAAGAGAATGGGGAGAAGGGATTGTGACGTGGTCATTCTCCCTGGGGGCGTGATTTCTCACTTTCTGTCTTTCTGGCGAGCAGATGCACCCTATAGCAAAAACCTAAAAAAAAAAAAATGATTTTCTTTTACATGAATGTTTGGACCGATCCTTTGCACCCCATCTATCAAGAGTACAGGAAGGGCGAGTGTCTGTTTAGGGGCATGGGCCATCCTGGCTCTTGACTAGATTTCATGTGTGTACCTGGGCCCTAAACCCATTAGGGTCTGTTTGCTTTAAACAGGTTAGGTTTTTTGTTTTTTCAAAGAATTATTTATTTAACTTTATTTATTCATTCATTAATTTATCTAATTTATTTATTTTTTAATTTGACCAGAGAGAGAGACACAGAGCAAGAGAGAGAGTGAGAGAGAGAAAGTGAGAAAGCAAGCCACCAGGTCCGAGACTCGAACCATGATCAGCCACGTGGGTGTGTCGAGCCCCTCAACTGCCACACCACCCGCTGCTCCCTAAACAGATTAGTTTTGAATAACTGATACCAATACAGATTTGCAGATAAAGTTAAGAAGTGTCAGACTTTTCAGTCTTCACCAGCACGGGCTAAACTTACCAAACTACATTTGTCTCAATCTTTACCCCTCCTTTTGAGGACCTTCTACTGGTCCCTCTGGAACAAGGTGGGTTGCCACTCTTTGGAAGTTTCACGTAGCCTTGAGAAAAAGTAAGTAAGTAGAAGCAGGTGCTTCCCTCTCCTCCCCACCCCCTGCTAGCCCCATTACAAAAACTCCTTCCAGGTTTTGTGGGGTTTTTTTAGTTTTTTTATTTTGTTTGTTTGTTTGTTTTGCCACAGATTGCCTATACTCCACTCAGAGAAGTAAGAAATCACTTTCCCAGGGGTAATGGTTACACCACAGCCCCTTCTCCTCCATTCTGCTTCTGGGAGTTTTAGAAACATATACACATGCACCTGGTGTGTTTTTCTTTCTTTCTTTTTTTTTCTTGTTTTATCTTCATATGTTTATTTTTTTTCATTTATTTATTTTTACATTTTTCCACAAACATTTACTTTACATAGCAAAAAATTTTAGCTCATACTCCATAATTCTTGACAGTTTACAAACAACTTTCAAAATTTCAAAATACTGAATTTTAAACATAATGTTCAAAATATGTCTTATAATTTTGTATAATTTTATAACTCTATAACAACAGAAGCAGTATGGTTTCAAATGTATATATATATATATATATATATACATATATATATTAATAACAATATTAAATCACTTTTTTTTTTTTTTAGAGTACAGACACTCGGTATATATTAAGTGGGGACATACAATGCCTCTCCTTCATAGCATGGCTTGCTTCACTCAGCAGTAAGTCTTCCATATTCATCCACTTCCTTTCAAAAGGAATGGATGAATAGTATTCCATTGAGTATAGGTGCCACAGTTTTTCTAACTGTTCATCAGTTCGTGGGCATTTAGGTTGTTTCCATGACTTAGCAATCGTGAAAAGTGCCGCAATAAACATCGATGTGCAAGCACTTTTTTGATTTAAGTATTCTTCTGTCCTTCGGGTAGATACCAAGGAGTGGGATTGCTGGATCATATGGTAGTTCAATTTGTACCTGGTGTGTTTTTCGATCAGCAGGGTCCAGGATTCAAACCACAGAGTTGGCCATGTGGCATCCAGTGCCTTAACCACCATGCCATGTGCTGATCCACTCCTTCCAGATTTGAGTGAAGACAAGTTAGTTCACTGTTGCCAAACATTTAAATGCCTTTATCTTATTTCTGTATAAATAATGATTTTTTATGTTTATATCTTAAATGGTTGTTTAGTTGTAAGATTTAGTAGAAAATACAGCCTTCTGGGCAGGTAGGTGGCGTGGTGGTTAAGGGTGCTGGACTTCCACATGACTGACTGCAGTTCGACTCCCGGACCTGGCGGCTTACTTTCTCTCTCACTCTGTCCCTCTCTGGTCAGATTAAAATAAATAAATGAATAAATAAATCAAGTTAAATAAAATCATTTTTTTTTAAAAAAAATACAACCTTCTGATTCTGCTGTGTTTTGAAGGAGTGAAGTATTTCTGAT